TAACACGAAAAGCATTACGCCAGGCCGCTATGGACAGAACAAAACGCTCTGCGAGGCGGTCTAGACAAAACAAGCGCAGACCGAGAACGCAGAGAGGGTCCCCCATGGGTCTGAACCCAGAGGTCGTCTTGGGAATAAAGGTGAGCAACACGATAGCGACTTGACTAGGGAGCAAAGAGGACATCCCCATGGCAGCGGAAAGCCTCACAAGACCCTCCAGGGTGTGACCGCTCATCCTGTGAAAATGTCGTATGCGAAGCCCGTCCGCAACCACCGGCGCACTCCTTGAATCCCTTGGAGAAAGAACGCACATCCTCAATAAGCACAAGCGGGAGCTCGTCGCAGCACAGGTCATGCACGAACCAATCATGCGCACGACCGTCTCCCCAAATGTCGGCAAACTTACGACTCTTAGCCTGCAGAAGCGACACGGGATCACACACCACCTCTTTATCAGTAGACAGCGTGGTCGTGGGTTGCCATTTCGTGGCACCCTTGGCCACCATGTGCACCCTCCGAGCTCCTCTGTCACTCCAATACACAATCCAATCACGAAACTCCTTGGATCCCTCCTTCCCGACCTGCGCCTCGAGAATGGCAAGAGAAACTTGGAACTCACCGTGAAGGGCCTTGAATCCGTCCAGCCACGGATCCGAGACACCCTCGTGCATGGGCAGGTCCAAGAGGTCCTCCAGCCTGTCCTTGAAACAGACTCGGGCGCCTCAGGCCGTGGCAATGCGAGCGGGCGCCTGCTGCAGGACGGGCAAGGTCCTGCGGAGGCCCCTCTCGTCCGCAGCCTCCCCGTGCCCCAAGCGGTCACCGTAGAGGCCACCCAACCACTTGCAAGCGAAAAACTCAGAGGACTGGGGAGGGGGGGGCTTGGGCATCCAAGACAGGCGGCCTACCCCTCGAAGCCCAACGCGCAAGGCCCCTCTTACCCGTGGCAGCAGCCGCCTCCGTCTCAGCGGCGTCAGCCCACAGCTCACAGGCCCTGCCCAACAGACCCCGGGCCTCGCAAAGATCACCCCTCCTGAGGGACCCCCCGCAGCCGTCAAGAACGCCGGGGAGGGCACGGGCGTGGGGGACAGGGTCCAAACTGCAAACAGGGGGGAGAGGCACCGAGGGCAACGGCGGAGGCTCTGCCGAAGGGACAACGACTTCAGCCTGCCGAGCTGGGGGTGCAGCGCGACTTGGACAGGACAGTGCGGCGAGAGGCACGACTCCCTGTTGGGCGCGACGGTAGCCACACCCTTGGCCACGCCGGCACTGGCCAAGAAAAAATCAAGCTGCTTCGAGCACGCCGTGGATCGGCACGTGTGCTCGCCCGACGCAAGAAGAATGAGCCTACCCAAGTCCTGCACACCCGATCCTAAGACAACCAAGGGTTCCAGGTTGAAACCGCCTCCAACAGTGCTCTCAAATCCCAAGGCCCCACCCCCAAGGAGAAGGCAGCAGAGAGCAGGGAGAGGTTTCGTTCCGAAAGGTCCTCGCAATCGTGGAAATAGCAGGACACCAGAAGGATGGGACAGGATCCAGGACACTCGACAATACCAGCGGCCACACGCGCCGGCACCGCTTCATGTCCCGAAGCAGGGGAACGTAGTCCGAGCCCACTCCCAACCAGGATGGAGGAGGTGGAGGAGGAGGAGCAGGAGGAGGAGCAGGAGGAGGACGAGGAGGACGAGGAGCACGAGGCAGAGGAAGAGGCGGAGGCGGAGGCGGAGGCGGCGGCGGCGGAGCAGCAGCAGCAGCAGCAGGAGCGGCAGCAGACAGGGCGGGTGGCCCCTCGAGTCGCCCCCCGGGCTCGCGCGCGAGCGCCCACCGAGCCTGCCTTGAAAAGCTGCCGCCGGGCCCGCCAGGCGAGGCGGCGGCGCCCGGCGCGGGCGCCACGCAGGCGCTGCGCACCGCGGCCGCGGCGAGGTCGAGGAGGGTCCAGCTGCCAAGGCTCCTGCGCCGCGTGGCGTCGGCGCGCGCTGGGCGGGTCGCGCCCTCCCAACTGCCTCAGGTCGGGCATGTCCCCCTACAGGCGGGTGTTTTGGAAGAGAGGTAAGGATGCGCAAAACATCCCGAGTAATCAAAAAAGCGCGAAAAATCGTCGCCAGACTAACTATGTTGAACTATTCTTGGGTATTCCTCCCCATCAGGGGGCCAGCCAAATGTGCAGATGCGCTGTGAACGTGGCCCTCTGTGCTCTGGACAGGACGGCTGAGTACGTGCCGTGCGCGCGCGCGGCTGCCTGCCCCGAGGGCTCAGCCAGGCCTGGCCGGCCACTCTCGCCGGTGGGCGTCCTCGGGCCCTGCGCCCGTCGGGGCCCCCACTCCGGCCTGGCCGCGCCCAGCGCTCCCGCGGAGCCCTCCCACGTGGGCCAGGACACGCGGCGTCGGAGATCGCACCGCACCGCCGGTGCGTCGGCGGCGCACCGGCGACGGCGGGATGGGGAAGATCGGCCTCCAGGTCGCGCCGCATCGCCGAGGCGTCGGCGATGCGGGGCGATCCTCCGACCGCGCCTGCTCCTGCCCCATCCGGGAGGCCTGGAGCGTGGCGCGCACGGGAAGCGGAGTGCAGGAGGGGCCCGCCCGCGCTCGAGCGTGAACAGAGGACAAACCAGAAAACAGAAAAGCACACACACACACAAGCACACACACACACACACGCACACACACACACACACACACACACACACGCACACACACGCACGCACGTGCCTGGCATGCGGAAGCGTGTTCAGAAGCGCCCCGGCACCTCAGCACTTAGCCAGAAGTGCCCACCGCGGGTGATCCTGCCCTCTTCCGAAGCCCCGATGCGGGAGGCCGGGGCCACCCCAGCGGCCGGAGGTCGACGGGAGCCTCCGCCCGTGGAGGCCCCATGCAGGCCCGGGGAGCCGTGGCGGGGAGCCCTGGCCGCGTGCCCCGAGGTGGCCCCGCGGGCGGGTTCCGAGGCTCTGCGGGGAGGGGCGCGTTTGGGACCGTCCTGGGGGACCTGGGGTTAGGTCGGGCATGTCCCCCTACAAGCCAATGCTCGACGAAGAATTCAACATACTCCCTGACCTTCCAGGAGGGCTAAAAAATTGCACCCGACCTGAAAACCCATCCCAGAGCTATTCGACGTCTTGGTTTTAGGCTGTTTCGTCAAGTTTTTTACGTGTTTAGGCCTCCAGTGCTAAAAAATAGCTCTCTGGAAGGTCAGGGCTCCCACAAAAATTCAAAAATGGTCAATAAATAAAAGAAAAATCGTCTAAAATCGTCTCTGGACGATTTTTGTTACTATTTTGAATATTCCTCCTGTAGAAGGGACAAGCCCGACTTAAACCTGGGGGCCAGAGGAAGAGGCCAACGATTCCAGGAAAGCACCCGGTGCTTCCAACGACTCTGCGGTTCTCGCCCTCTCGGCCCTACAAGCCTCGTCAAAAATAATCAGAAACAAAGTTGGAAAGCACGACGATCGATCTTCTCGGGCACCTGTTAGAGACTGCATTCTTCAATGCTGCGGAGGGGTCGTCGGATTTTGAAGCCCTTGCGTCCACGTCAGATACTCCAGATTTTGTAATAAAAGGGAGTAAAGGGAGGGGGTCTGGACCCTCCAAGACAAGCCATTTCAGACCTCCCCCGTGGGAGAACCCTCCAAAACATCGTCCCCAGACCCCCCAGGCCCTCCCAGATAGCCTGGAAGAGACCCCCCCCCCGAAATCAGACCCCCCTCCCCTTTTTGTACGAAATCTGGAGTATCTAGCGTCAGCATTGGAGTAGCGCTGACCATACAATCACCGAAAACAGAATCCCTCCGTTTCCTTCTGACGAGGGCTGCAGGGCGCGCCAGGCCGCCCGCGCGGGCGCCCGGAGACGGCGCCCCGAGAGGCTCGGAGGCTCCGCTGCGGCTCGGGGGCCCTCCCCCTGACCTCCCAGGAGGGCCAAAGAATAGCACCCGACCTAAACACCGATCCCAGAGCTATTCTACTGACTACCTACCATGGGACGCACATGGACATACTAATACTGTATGTCCGCCTTGGAGGCGCGCGTCCGACCCGAACATCTAGTATACCCATCTTGTAGTATATCGTTTCCCGAGCGGTGTGGCCAGAAAGCGCCCGCCACGACGCATATACTATAAGATTTCTCGGTGCGCGCGTCGCCCCTGGGGGGGCGACGAACACATAGTATAAGTATGTTGGGGGGATGCCGATACCAGACCACCCCAACCCAACCCGAAGACCCGAATTTCGGGTTGGGGGGGGTACGGGTTCCACACGTGTCTTCTCGAGGTGCCCCGACCCCCCCCCACTGGAACTGGGGGGGCAAATTGAGGCCTTCGGGTTGGGTTGGGGTGGCTTGGTGGGTGGTGATCTACGTCTTGGTTTTAGGCTGTTTCGCTCAGCATTTTAGGTTTTTAGGTCTCCAGTGCTAAAGAATAGCTCTCTGGAAGGTCGGGGCCCCCGAAGGGGGGCCCCGGAGGCCTCCCGGACGGCCCGGGAGGCGTCCAAGAGAAGCGCCCGCCAACGGGCTCGGACAAAATAGCCCCGGAGCGCTTCAAATTAAGTCGGGCCTGTCCCCCTACAGGGGGATTTTCGACGAAAAATAAAAAATACCCAAAAAATAATAAAAAATAATCCAAAAATAGTCTGGGGACTATTTTTTGAGTACTTTCTGACCTGTTTGGAGTATTTTGGGTGTATTTTTTTTTGTTCGTCGAAAATCCCCCTGTAGGGGGACAGGCCCGACTTAAACTTAGAAGGAGAAAAACGGCATAAACAGAAATTTGTGGCGCTCCGCGCGGAGCGTCGGAGGCTTGTGTTTATGCCATTGTTTCTCCTTTCAGTCCTCTATATTTCCCCGGCGACGGCCCCGAGACTCACAGCAGGGCCCCCGAGAGGCCCACAAGTAGCCCCCCACGAGGCCGCCCACATCCCAAGAAGCCGCAGCATGCCCAACCGTGCTCCCGCTGCGCCCTGCACTCATCACCCAAGCACGGTGGCGGGCCGAAAACCACTATACATTTTTCCC